GTAGAGTACCGTGCTGTTGGCATTGAGGAGGACGTGTTCATTCACCCATCATCTGTACTCTTCCATCAAAATCCTCCGAATTGGCATAATTTCCATGTATCGGGCTCAACTGATGAAACTGAGACAGGCATTTTCGACTCGGTATGGCAAAGATGCTTTATCTCGAATAGATTTCAACACAGTCGACGGGTTTCAAGGCCAAGAGAAAGATATAATTATACTATCATGCGTTAGAGCTGGTCCAAATATAACCACCATCGGTTTCTTATCCGACTTTCGAAGAATAAATGTGGCTATTACCCGCTGTCGTAGCTCACTTTATATTCTGGGCCACGCTGCAACTCTGAAGCGTAGTGACAATCTTTGGAGGAAGATTGTTGACGATGCAGACCGCCGTAATATTCTCGTTTCAGTACGTCTATCGTAGCTAGCCATTTCATTAACTAATCACGGGATATCAGACTGGACCACCTATTTCACGACTCTCCATCCAATCAGTGGACACGTCATACACCAGAAATGATACTATGAAAACATCGTCCTTGAATAAGAAAGAACAAGCGGACGGGAAGATGGAAATATTTACCCCAGCAGCACTGAAGGCTTTCAACGCACGACGAAAGTTGGAGCTGGATACAAGTAGTTCCATTTCAGAACTGCATGAAAAAGAGCATGATATTCCTTCTGAAGTCGAAATTCATGGCCCTTTAATAAAACAAAGGCTTGCGAGCGTGTCTAGCGTTGGTGAAGACAACGAGCAAACGGGCGACGTAACTTTGTCTTCATTGAGCCGGAAACGAGCACTCTCAACCAGCGACGATATCCCACGACCGGCCCCTACGTCGCGTCCCAATGTATCAGACGGAAACATTGATCACCCTCACAAACCACAACCAGAAGGATCTTCAAGCAAGCCCGTGCGCCCGAGGCCTCCTCCCAAGTCAAAGGCTCCTAACTTATTCATTCCCAAAAAGCCAGCTGTACGTTTACAATAAACACCAGCTAAGTCTCTAAACTCATTCCCAGGTCAAACGAGCATTGCCTTCCGATGCAACTTTCCCAAATCCGAAAAGACAGGAGACTTGATTTCACCTGACCTAAATTTATACTCCTATCTATGTTAAGTTCTAGATGCTCTGAAGTATACTTGATATAGCAAGAGATTCACGATTCACTTCATTTTCCGCATAGGTGGTAGCTCCCAGCCAGGACCAAACTTTGGTACCACTAGAACCTCTCCTGGCTTCATATCCTTGATGGTCGGCGGTATTGGGAGGGGTTTTGAAAAAGTACATAGAGCGGGTCCTAGGTGAGCCAACCACGCAGGATTGATGACCGTGAGTGCTATTCGGGTAGTCAATATACAATTATATGAATGTCGTTTTCTATTTGCACGTACTCTTAATCCATACTTTTGTTCCGCGCACCACTTCATGAAACGCCACATATTCGGGAGGATTTTGATGGAAGAGTACAGATGATGGGTGAATGAACACGTCCTCCTCAATGCCAACAGCACGGTACTCTAC